TTCTAGACAGTATTTGGTCCTGCCATGCGGGCAGGGGACTGGACTCTATGACCTCTCGAGGTCCCTTCCAGTCCTAGAATCTATGAATTATTTAAGACTTGAAAAGAACAGTGTTCAGAGCGCGCTTTTTTTATATATAGTATATAGTGCATGTGCACACACACATCTCTTGCTTCAAGTCCTCTGACCATGAATTTATTTATAAACTTATCCTGTGAATGAAAACTATTAACTAACCAGTAGTGGCCTAAATCCCTGTAGTCTCCAAGTTTATCCATATGCTTTTCACAAACCAACAAGTATTGTTGTGTCCCATCCATAGGTGGAGAAGTACAATGAAGCCTAGTCTATCAACCCCAACCCTGACGATTCCCCAGAGTGAGAACTGGGAGTTCAGATAGATAATGACTCATACCAGTATTCTCAGTTCCAATGCCCTTCCAAACAGCAGTGCAACACCTCAATTTTCCCTCAACCTCCTATTCCCAATCAGAGGAGAGGATTTGGGACCCATGGCTAAGAATGTAACCTAAAACAACAGGCACTTTGATTAAAAAGTAATGACATAAGATTTATGGAGGACTAGGAGTTATGGGCTTAATGCAGCAATCACTGAGTGAAGTGCTATGGTCTGGAATATGCAGGAGGGAAGACTAAATATTCCTAATAGCCCCTTCTAGCTTTAAAAATCTATGAATCTACAAGAAGTTACTCCATCCTCAAAACCCTATAACTAGGCCTCCTTCCCCTAATAACATGCAGTCCTTGATTCTTCCAATCCATAGGGAGTAAGGTAATACCAACTTCTTCCCCCTCCACCCACAGCTACCCAATCTGCTGTAGGAGGAAATTTGTTACTGACCCCAAATATGACATTTAGTGTAACTCTATGACCAGTTGACTATCACAATGACCTAGCCATAAAAAAGTGTTGCAAGTAAAATTTGACACCTTGGCCAAACAGCCAATCAGATCTCAAAGTGTCAACTCCAAAAACCTTAAAATATTGGACTGGAAAGATCCTCTTCTCTCCATGACACAAATAAGTGTGCTCCCTTTGCAATCAGCCTTCCCTTTAAACCTTCCAGTACTGAGCAAGCAGACAATCCCAGAGCAAGCCATATTCAAGCCTGCTAATCCTTATTTAAGAACCAGAATGCCTAAAAAGGGGCAGTATTGTCAGTGGAAGGAAGGAGGTCCATATTCAACAGGCAGAATTCAGGTGACAGATGAAAGAAGGCAACACTTGCTCTCTGTACAAGCAAGTGGCAGCACTCACATGACTTAGGTGCTAGCAAAACAACAAAGAACATTGGCACAGAAGACTTAATCCTCAGATGGATAAAGCACGAGGGAAGTCATACTCCTGTAACTTTGAAGATATATGGGACATTTTCACTGGTGTACAAGGGACAGACATCACCCATAGGGCAAATTATAATTACACTATCAACTTCACATATGATCTGAACTCTAGTACCGTCAAAACATATATTACATCTACAAAGAGGACATTAATCACAGGACCTTACTACACCCTACCACTGTATCTCTACTAAAACAGCACTACTCTGAACACTACAATGGTATCAGTTATTTTCATTGCCCCCTTCTGATATTTTATTAGCCAGTAAAATACATATATATGTGCGTGTGTGAGAGAGTGTCTGTATGTGTGCGCACATCTATATATCTTTAAAATGAATTATTTCACAATTTCTATACTGTAGCCTACATGTAGAAATACAAAACTAGAACATGGGATAGGCATACTGATGCTTAGGGGAAATATATAATATTTATTTACCTATTGCTCTGAAATACTCAGTGGGGAAATTATTAGAAAATATTTCTATTTGTTGCTTGATACACTGAGGTGAATAATGCTTTGATTTTCTTACTCTCACTTAACTTTTTTTTTTTTAATTCTACCTTCTGGGAACATTCAAATACTACATAAGCATAAAGCCTGGAAGAGAACACAAACTTTTTCAACAATAGTGATAAAGCATCACATATTACAAGAATCACAGACATTAGTGATGAAAAAGACCTATCCAATCATTTTGGCAGAAAAAGCAGGGCTTTTTAACATTTTGCCCATTATGACAGGAGTCTCAAGTAAAGGGCTTATCCCACCTCCACAGGAGACTATTATACAGTGTACAAAAAAGGGTCTGATCTTGAAAACACTTAATATTGGGCATAATACTTTTAACTGAAGGTAGTACCATTAGAGTCAAACTAGAACTAGTCAGTCTGAAGTACTATGACCAGAAGCCAATGTTTGCAGAATGAGCTCCTACTTCAGGTACATCCACTACAACTGCATTTACAGGATTAAGGGCCTGATCCAAAGACCACTAAAGTTAACTGCAATGGGTTTCGGATCAGTCCCTATGTTCCTAATGTATACAAAGGGGAAGCTAACATTGCTTCCACTGTTAAAAGGAAATACACAAATTAACCCAAAACATCTTCTCACTTACATATTTTTAATGTATACTATGAACATAAACACAATTTATGCCTTTTGATTTGTCTATAGAATGAGGATCTATAGAAAGAGAAGAAAAATAAACAAGAAGAGGAAAGGTTCAAATTAGCTGCTCTTTATATTTTAGTATACTATATGATTGCTTTATTACCATTCTCTCCATCAGACTTCCTTTCATGGTCAGTGTCAGTCAGGGACAAAGCTGAATTTGCCCGGCTTGACAAACAGGAACTGTGTTCTGATTTCATCCCCGTCATCCACATCCTCAGAGCATGATCTGGTGGTGAAGCACCACCTTCAGTCTCAGTATCCACATCTGAACCCATCTCCAATGGGTAACCATGCTGAGATACACCATGCAAATCTGTCTGGTAGCCAGAGCACACGATGTGTGGATTTTCACAGAATTCCATCTCTGCAAAACACAAACATTCAGAAAATTTTAGAAATTAGAAGCAATATTCTCTTTAACATACTCCATTTTGGGAAAGGCTTTTGTTTAAATAACTCTGGGCCAGATACTGCCTTTTGAAGTCCCTCAATGTAATGAATTTTTTTCAATGTATGATGTAAATTGTGTATTAATGTCTTTTAATTTTGTTTCTTCTATTCTAGTAGGAATGTATATTAAAGTATCGACATACACAAATTTAACAATTAGTACAATTTTGCAACATTAGTTTACCACAAAGCTGAATTAACACCAAATAATGTATGCAACTGATAATGTCAAGTCAATATACTGATTTCACCAAAATGAATTTTTTTCTCCAAAATTTTTCTAAAATTAATTCAGTCTCACAAAATACAATCCTACTTAATATGTTTTGTCATGGCAAATGTTTGGTTCAGTGTCTGTAAAAGATGAGGAACTCACAAAACTTAGTTTGAAATTCTCTGGTAAATCCACAGGAGACAAAGAATGTTTACTTACCAGTTACTATGGTTCTTTGGGAGTACTGTCCCTGCATATTCACACTTATGGAATGTGGCTCTTCAGTGCCACTGAACTTCAGAAACTTTCTAGAAAACCAATGACTGTTGGGACAGCACAAGTGCCCCCCTATGGGACTGAATCATCAGAGCCACAATTTTAAAGGGCTATACAATCCCGAACCATTTTAGTCACTCCACACACAGCATAGCTGTATAACAGTAGAACTTTGGAAAAGAGTAGAAGGTGGACAGGAACCACAATGAGTATGCAGAGGAGACACTCTCAAAGAGCCACAGATAAGTAACCTCTCTTTCTTCTTTGAGATAGCCTCTGCATATTCTCACTTGGGAAAAACAGACTCTCAGGAAGATAGGTTGAGGAGTTTTCATTCAATAAGGATTGCAGAACTGTCCTCCCAAATTGAATATCAGATCCGTACTCTCAGTTGAGAAAGATGTGCTGCGTACAGGGGTATAGAAAATTCCTGGTAGCTGCCCTGTAGATTTCTATGATAAAAACATTAGAGCAGCAGTTCTCAAACTGTGGGTCGGGACCAGTGTTCCCTCAAATTTTTCCCACCCGTGTGCGGAATTAATTTTGTTATGTGCACCAATATGAAGTGATGTGTCACACATCACCTCCATATTGGTGCACATAACAAAATTCATGTGGTGGGGGTGGGGATGAGGGGTTCAGAGTGTGGGAGGGGGCTCAGGATTGGGGCAGAGGGTTGGGGTGCAGGTGTGTGAGGACTCCAGTTGGGGGGGGTGCGGGCTCTGGGCTGAGGCTGGGAATGAGGGGCTTAGGGCTGGGGTAGGGGTTGGCTGCCCGGGTTTGGTCCAGGCTGTGGCATGCTGCACCGGCCAAGGCTGGGCCGCCACAACTTTGGCCATGCTGGGCCGCCTGGGTTCGGGTCTAGCTGCATCACTAGACCACGGCTGGGTCTGGGCCACACTGCATCACTCCGGGCCGCCACGGCTGGGTTCAGGGCCAGGACACCCGGGTCAGGGTCTGGGCCGGGACGCGGCATAGTTGGGGCTAGGGGGCCACCCCGGCCATCGCAGGTTGAGGGCCGAGCTAGGTTAGAGCCAGGGGAGGGGCACCCTCCCCATGCCACGGCAGGTCCCGGGCAGGTTCCCTTAGCACCTGTGGTACTAAATAGGCAGCTGCACGGCCACACAGCTTACGGAAAACTTAGGTCGCAACCCCATTTTAATGGGGTCGCCAGGGCCAGCATTAGACTTGCTGAACCCAGGGCTGAAGCTGAAGGCTGAGCTCCATGCCCACTTGGGGCAATGGGGCTCAGGCTGCAGCCCCCTCTCCTCCCACCTAGGGTGGCAGGGCTCAGGCGCCAACACCCCTGTCCTCCCGGGGTCATGTAGTAACTTTATTGTCAGAAGGGTGGGGGGGGTCACAGTGCAGTGAAGTTTGAGAACCCCTGAATTAGAGGCAGGCCAGTCATGTGGAGGGATGCTTAATTCTCACAGTAGCTTAAAGCCTCAGTGTCCAGCCTAATCAGTTTGACAGGCACCGAGTTGAAATGGCACTCCCTCAAAGGCTACAAAAATCTTGGTGACTTCCCTGAAGGTCTTGGCCAAAATTTACAAACCTAGGCACCTAAAGTTAGGGTCCTGTATTGATAAGTAGCCTGATTTCAAAAGGTGCCAAGCATCTGCACCTCCCACTGTGCCCGCCTTTTTGAGCCCAAGGAATAAAAGACAAGTAATACTAAACACCAATCTGGGAATGGTCTTCCCTGATGCACATTAGACTGCATGCATCTTTATAACCTCAGCTATGAAAGCTCAAGTACTGTGAGCAGATGCTGTGTGGTCCCAAGACACCCTATTTTTCTATGAGGTTCCCAAAGCTAATCTTGAATACTCAGAGTTCCACCTTGATGAAAAATCATTGGGTACATTTACTATATATTTTATATCGCTCTGCCGGAGAATGGCTTCTGATATGGAGCACGGTTCAATTTTAGTCTTTAATTTGAATTATGTGTACCATGCATCTGAGACACAAACTCTGAGCTCTTTATAGTCAAATTAGACAAGATGGGCTAAGTCTTGGTTCCTCTGAGGTTCAGGGAGAGTTCTGCCATGAACTTCAGCAGGGCCAGATTTTGGACATCTGAGTCCAGTGTTGGGTTAAGAAAGCCATAGGTCATGCACTATGGTCCCAACCACCTTCTCTGTGTACAAGATGAACATTTCAGATGTTTTTTTCTTGACAAATAATCATCTACCATTAATTACTGCAAATTATCATTGCATTTACTTTCATCTACTTAAAGCACAGTACGTTAATAAAAATACTTTATTGCCCAATGTCATACAAATATGGAGGACCAGAGCTATATACCAGTTCTGAGTTCAAAATAGGGCTAATAATTAGCCAGCTAAAGTGCTACACGGTTATAACGAGGTATCAATGACATGAATGATTATTAATCATCATTAATGTTCTGGAGGATGGCGTGGATTGCACCCTCAGCAAGTTTGCAGATGACACTAAACTGGGAGGAGTGGTAGACACTCTGGAGGGTAGGGATAGGGTACAGAGGGACCTAGACAAATTAGAGGATTGGGCCAAAAGAAATCTGATGAGGTTCAACAAGGACAAGTGCAGAGTCCTCCATTTAGGACAGAAGAATGCCATGCACTGCTATAGACTAGGGACCGAGTGGCTAGGCAGCAGTTCTGCCGAAAAGGACCTAGGGGTTACAGTGAACAAAAAAATGGATATGTGTGAACAGTGTGCCTGTGTTGCCAAGAAGGCTAACGGCATTTTGGGCTGTATAAGTAGGAGCATTGCCAGCAGATCAAGAGATGTGATCATTCCCCTCTACTTGGCATTGGTGAGGCCTCATCTGGAGTACTGTGTCTAGTTTTGGGCCCCATACTACAAGAAGGATGTGGAAAAATTGGAAATAGTCCAGTGGAAGGCAACAAAAATGATAAGGGGGCTGGAGCACATGACTTACGAGGAGAGGCTGAGGGAATTGGGATTATTTAGTCTGCAGAAGAGAAGAATGAGGGGGGATTTGATAGCTGCTTTCAACTACTTGAAAGGGGGTTCCAAAGAGGATGGATCTAGACTGTTCTCAGTGGTAGCAGATGACAGAACAAGGAGTAATGGTCTCAAGTTGCAATGGGGGAGGTTTAGGTTGGATATTAGGAAAAACTTTTTCACTAGGAGGGTGGTGAAGCACTGAAATGGGTTACCTAGGGAGGTGGTGGAATCTCCTTCCTTAGAGCTTTTTATGGGCAGGCTTGACAAAGCCCTGGCTGGGATGATTAGTTGGGGATTAGGTCCTGCTTTGAGCAGGGGATTGGACTAGATGACATCCTGAGGTCCCTTCCAACCCTGATATTCTATGAAAACTAAAGGAGATAAGGAAACCAGGCTACTTGTTTAAATGTGGATTGCAGATGCTAGGCTTTCTCCCAATTCTTTGTGGACAAAATCATCTATTACCAAAAAATGAGTGTAACAACCAATTTAAAATTCTGATTAAATGGCATAAGTTACCATAGAAATTGACATGCTTTGGCTCTTAGTTAAACATCTAAAAAATGTTCAAGGGCAAAAAGTCACTGATGATTAGCTCACAGTCAGCAGTGAAAACAATCTTTGTCAAATATGTGGAGAAACCCATGGATAGTTTCTACTGAATCAATGTATTACAATAGTTAGTCAGAGTTTCAGCAGGTAGTATCAGAAAAGTGGAAGAAATGAATATCCTCTATTTATATAAAATCCATAATTATCAAAGGAAAGGAAGAGATTTGTTTATTAAAGAAAACTCAGGGCTTGTCTACACGACAAGCAGAGATCGATGCATCAGTGGTTTATTTAGCAGGTCTAGTGAAGATCCACTAAATCGACTGCAGATCACTCTCCTGTTGATTCCTGTACTCCACTTGAACGAGAAGTGCAAGGGGAGTCGACGGGAGAGCATCTCCCGTTGACATAGGGCCCCACAGTAAGTAGATCTAAGAATGCTGACTTCAGCTATGCTATTCACGTAGCTGAAGTTGTGTAACTTAGATCCATTTCCCTCCATAGTGTAGACAAGGCCTCAGAAGCGGTCAGATTAGCCTCATACATTTGGTCAGTTGTAGTCTCTATCAAGACTCGATGTTATAACTGCCATGAGAAGATACTTTTAAAAAATAAATCATTTACTACATGAAGTACAATTTTTATTTACAGATGTAAAATACTTTTCTTTACTTATTCCTCGATGTAATAATATCTTTCCAGGAGAATTAACTACAGGGCTAGATTCCAATCGCAATTATTCCATAAGTACAGAGTAAGTCCACTGATTTTTGGATTTCACCAGTGTAACTGAGATCAGAATCTTGCGTATATTTTAATGAGATTATAGAATACCGCCACTTTGCAAGGGCCTAATCCTGAATCTCTTTGCACACAGAATCCCCACTGAAGTCCATGTCAGTTTCGCC